AGATGTGCCTAGGGTTGGAAATTATACGGTACAATAAATTTTGGCATAAATACCAGTCTATTTTACCGTATAATTACTGTATATATGTTGTAAGTGGAAACGGAATTTAAGTGGATTCGGAATTTATATATAAAACCCCATTTTGGGGTTGATTTTATCATATGTACACCCTAACCCTAACCTTAATTTAACTAAATCCACTTAAATTCCATTCCCACTTACAACATATATATGAGTGCCGCCAAGGGAAAACCTGATTTTCAATTATATTTTGTGTACAGTTAACCGTCTATGGAAAATTTATCATAATGAAAGATTTCATAGATGACTAACTGTACACAAAATATAATTGAAAGTCTGAAGTCAGGTTTTCCCTTGGCGGCACTCATATAATACCTAGAAAGTACATATAGATTTGTCACGTGCTCGCTAATTCCTATGAAAATTTCACCTAGATTTCTATTAGTTAGCTTTGTTACATTAAAATATTATATCAATTATACGGTTATTATCGTTATACCATTTTATTTTTATTATACGGATCGTATAATTGTCCATCCTAACTATGCCATATAATTATTACCATATTTATACCATTTTAAAACTTCATAATAACTGTTTTTCAAGTTGTAGAATTTTTTTCCTCCTTTTTATTTTTAATGATGTAATTCTGGTAATTTTTTTCTCTTTATGGAAATCAATTTCCGCGTCAAAATTTACTCTAGTTATACAAAATCTTATTTTTGATTTCCGGGTGTAACTTGTTCAAAAGAAATTTTTTTTAATGAGATTTATTATAAGTCGATTTTTTTTTTGCGGTTAATAAATTCAACAGTTTTGGCAATGCTCAATTGAATACGTACGTAAATTGTATTAACTATAGTTTTAGGTAATGTTCTTAAAAACTTGTATTTCACAAATATTAAAACATAAGCTTTTACTGACAGCAAGGATTTCGCCCGATATGAAATTGATCTGCAACATAGTAAACGACTATTCCAGAATCGTTTTTAATAGTAATTTTTTAGTATTGAACATAAAGCCCGCGAAGGTTAGATTAGATATAGATTGTCCAGGGATCCGTAGTTTTTCAGGGGGATCATCAGATTCCAGGTCGGAAGGTATCGGAACTGGGCCGGTATTAAACAATATTAGCCAATAATCTATAGCAAAATTATCAGCTAGGTATATCAATTACGGCACATCCGACCAGCATTCCGATCCAGAATTTTGGTGATCCCCCTGGATCTCATAAGCAGAAATTCGTTTGATTGGCTAACTTCGTAGATCAATTTGTAGATCTGTGAATCGCGAAATAGAGTAGAAAAAAAAGCGAAAAAAAAATTGAAAAAAAAATGAATATTAGTTATTATCTTAAATTCAAGAAATAAAAGCGACTAAAAATAAATTATTATGTGCGTTCTTAAGTTAATTGCTAGCTAAATTTTTAGACATTAAACGAAAAATTAATTAAAATAAAATAAATACAAGAAGTAAAATCGAATAAAGATTAGATGCTCGCCTAACGTTAATTGTTAGTTAAATTTTCATACATTAAAAAATACATTCAAATATTCATATATAATTTACCCATGTAATTAAAAGTTTTTGCATTTCCCGCATTTTTTTGGGCATAATAAATTTCTTTTTCTGCAAGAACATGAATTGCTGCAATTTGTTTTTCGGCAACGACAGGGTTCTTGTCGGGTTTCTTGAATTAATATTACTATTCGTAACACTAATGGTACAAAAATTATATAAATAATAATAATAATAATGCTGTTTTTTATTATTTATTCAATGAACGTATTTGGCGAGTACTCACTAATACTATGAGCTTGCCATCTTGAAAATTATAGGTTGGACGTTTGTGATTAGTGATGTGTCATTAATATGATAACTGAATTTTTTTCGCGTACAGTACGTACAGTACGTTTAGTTGCATAGTTGTATAGTGTGTATAACATACGTAATATCCATAATACACGTAGTATTTGTAAATCAGTTATATGTAACAAATTTTTGTTAGAGTGCGAAAGACAGCTTCATAGTCAAAAATTTGAGATAGGGCTAATTTAATGATTTGTTCTAGAATATCTAAAAAAAATTTGCGTACTGTACTATACGCGGCACATCTTTATTTGTGATTATTATTAGTCGATCTTCTATTGTTACGAATTGGACATGTAAGGTTTTGTCTGGCACCTGCTTCTCTTAATGAAAATATGTTATTTAGTGGTACAACGATGAGATCAGGATAATCAGGGGTGCCCAGTGATACAAGTTCATTTGCTAAGTAAAAATTGTCGAAGTACCTTGCACGGTAGAGATCTTTGATCCATCTTTAATTTATCAATGGTGGAAATGCCTAAATCACCAGGTTCGTTTCGTACTTTGCTTCCATTTTGTTTTTAATAAATTCACGGTTTCTTTTAACATTTAAAAGAGCTGATAACATCGAATTAATGCAATTAACTTTTGTTTAACTACATAAATTTATTTATTAAAGTTAATATAACACATACTTTAACATGATTTAGAAAATCTTCGGAAACAATAGGGCGTATTGGTGGAACTCTTTTAGAAATATGTCGAGTAATACACACTTTGTATTCATTAATCACATTCTCAACTGCTGGGGAATATAACAGTATTTAACCAGATTCTAATAAGAAGGTTTTATTATTATTGTTATTTTTTTTTAAAAAAAAAACAAGCATGTTTTTCAGCTTTTTCATGGCCGCCGTACTCAGTTGCTTGGTGGGTAGCACAAATTAATTCGTAAAAATTTTTGATATAACAAAACTTGTGTTCTCAGATTATTCTTATCTTGTTTAAGCAGATGCAGTTTCTCTGTTGCACCAATACGATGAACTTTAAAAATTTAAGCGCCCAATATTTGAACTACGCGTTGCACTAAATGTCTGGATTTTTTAGTACATTTAAACATTCATTATAACGACTTCTATCCATCAGGCTTCTCTTGTTTTTTCTTTTGTTAATGAATGTCTCTAATCTTCGGTTAAGGTTTCACGAGTCATAAAGTTATATTCTTGCGAATCCAAAGGGGTTGAAGAAAATATGTAATAATAGTCGATTCGAATAATGAATAAACAAAAATTAAAGCATGTGACAATAAAAGCATTGTATTTATAAATATCAATGTAAAAAATCAATTGTAAAAATATCAAATATTAATGTATTATTAATAATATATAGTTATTTGGTATGCCGTAATGATAATATCGTGATCTGCATGATCACGATATTATCATTACACACGAAAAATAACGGAAAGTATCTGGACCAGAATTTGTCCGGGCCCCTGCGGGGCCTAGACATCGACCGGTCATTTTTTGGCTCAGATACGACAGTTATTGGTGCGTAGCGACCAATAACGGTATTATCCGTCAGATTACGACGATCGGCATAACGAGGAAAGTGTAAAAAAAAGTTTATCAAAAATGTATAACGATAAATAAAAAGATAATATGTATAAACATCAAATCATGTAAACAAGCAATATTGAACAGCCCTAGAACCGCCCATAAAAAAAATACAGCTGGCATCATACCTTAAATTGTACATAAAGTATTTTGTATATATCACCTGATTTTTAATTTACGCGATTACTCAACTTTATCATTATATATTGTATACTGCATGTTGACAAGGGTCAACGGATCGAAAAGAAAGGGAAGAAATGGCCAGGGGCAACTACTCCAAGAGCACCACCAATTTTTTTCGGTAACACAAAATTCTATTGGCCGAAATGTAGTACAAATTTTATATTCTTAATCGTGATTTTCGGTACTACATTCTGACCAATAGTATTTTACTATGTAGCAATTATCGTTATCTTATTATCTTGGTTATATATATTGACCCTCGCACAGTAATTGCATGACGAAGGAACTTTTTCCCATCAACTTAAGACGATATTAAATGTTATAGACAACTCTGGGGCTTTTTTTGCAGTTTCAGTGTGTATTTGTAAAACCCCCGTGTAATTAATTTATTTACTCATATTTTTTTTCTTTTTATACAAGACGATGTAATTACAGTAATAATTAAAAGGCTCGCCCACCAATTGCAGAAAAATCCTCAAGTGGATCAGCGGCAAATCTAGCCACAAAACTTAGAATCAAAAGGGTAGGTTAAAAAGGCATTAATTGTATGCATTTGTAAAGAAACAAGAAGACTATGATAGAAGGCACATTGAATAATCGTTAGAGCCTTTTGTTACTAGAGTATTTGGTGTTGTAGGAAATGAGTTAAAGTTCTCGAATTGTTTGAATATTACATTTGAATTCTTCTATAATTTGTTAAATAGCTAGAGATAATGATAGAAGAATAAGGGGTTAGAATAAATTTATAAATTTAAATTAAAATTACGATTATTAAACTAAGAAATTTTACAATGTTAAAAATTTGAAGCGCTTAATTATTTTTAAATATAAATACGAATAATATTGCAAAGATTAGGTCCAATTTACTTTTGATCATACGCCAGTACAATAATTTTTGGAAACTAATGTCTTGAAATTTATTTAAGTGAAATGCACGCTAGTTACATTCTTAATTGCACACAGCATATTAATGTAAAATTTTTTTAAACCAATTTTTTGCATTAAAAATTTAATATTTCTTTTTAAAGCTTTCGGTCATTTGTTTCATAATTATTAGCCGAAGTTCGTCCAAGAGAATTGTATCTTCTAATCATAATACTTTGTTATTTTAAATTATGTAATTCAAATACCCCATCAAGATACAAGAAATATTTATAATACATTACCTTTAATTTGAGTTGGGGATAAAGGATAATTGCGTTTGGTTTTCATCTCTCATTGGTCTTATTGTAAATAATAAGATTTAATAAAACAAAAATAAAGTACAATAAAGGAAAAAAAATAAAATTTTAATAACCTTCGAGTTGGAATTAAAAAATTGTTTGCTTGTTTGCCTTTGTCCCTGTTTAGTTTTGTAAAATTAAAAAAAGCTTAGTATTTAAAATACGCCTTTATAATAGTAAAATAATTTATTATAATACTTACGTCTTGTAAATTTAAAAACATTGTATGTCGATTATGGTCTTTCCAAGTACGTGGATTGGTTATTCTTCTTTTATATGATTTAATGTCCATCACTAAATTTTGTACGCCTTTAAAACTTCCTTGAACCGATTGCGCCCATTGAACATTATTGGAATTTTCCTGTTCTTGTACAATTTCAAGTGCATCACGAAGTAATGATTTATATTCTTCGAATATTTGTGATGATTCAGTATTGTCATCATCGTTTGAATTAATATCAGTTATATTATCGACTATATATAAAATAAATAAAAATATAAGTTCATATTTATTAAATTGAAAAATACTTGTTTCTTACCTGTATTTGATTGCATTAATTGTGTTGAAGATTGTTGTAATATATGTTGCGATTGTAAAAATACAAAAGGATAGACTCCTTGTCGCTGAATATTTTCAAAAAAAGACTTATTAATTGTAAATTGAGATGCTTGAATTAAATGTTTACAAAGAAAAAATCGATTGATTAAAAATCCTAAACATCCGCAAATCCACTTTTCTGTATCAATTACGTAATTATGATTGATTTTTTTTTCTTTCAACATTATCCATTCTTTTTTGAAGTCCTTTCTCCAAGAAGGCATTTCTCGCTTATAATAATATTTATTATATTGTTGCTTGTGATGTGGAATTAAGCGAGTAACTATAATATAAGTAAGGAAATCGAGACGTGGCCTAAAGAACTTAGGCAAAAAGTCCCGCTTGATTACTTTCCAGTGGGATTCACATAACATTGTGGTACGAAAAATACAAATCTTGTTACATCCGGATCGTGTCCACAAATTCCAATTTTTTTTTTGATACCAATTTTCCCACAGATAGGTCCACAAAAACTTTAAATCGTTGTGGATACAAAATTCATATATTTGTTTTGTCGATTGTTCCCAAATTTGATTTGCTGTTAAATAAAATCCATCAATATTTGGAATTAAAGAATGAAAGTGCATATGTTGTTCCATCATCTCTATAACTTTAGGACGCAATTCTTTAGGGCAAAAACAAAAATTCTTTTTTTGTGCCTGAGTTACTTGTGACGGTAATGATGGATAAAATTCAATATCAATGAACTCAAATTCCTGATGCGCTAAATATGAACTATAATTAATTTTTTTTGGATATGTATTGTCAGCAAGGCGTTTTTTAAGCGCTTTTTTCATGTGCCAAAAACAAATTTGAATTTTCGAATTTGGCCAAACTTTTAACGCTGCTGAAATCTGTGAGAAATCCTTATCAGTTAGGAAAAAATTAATATTATTTAATCCTAAATTAAATAAGGATTCAAAGAATAATGTTAAAATACTTGTACGAGCGCCATCATCTTTTTTAGTTCCTTCAATAAACAAATAAGCAAGTGCAAATCCAGATCCATCGTATTGACCGACAACTGCATATAATTCATATTCTAGAACATTGGTCTTATATGTGGCATCTACGACGATCTCATAATTATTTTTTAATAAATCAAAAAATGGTGTCACAAAACCCAAATATTGAATATTTTGAGTGTTGAAC